GAGCACGAGCAGTGTTGCACCTTCTGCGGCAGGGAAGGGAGCTTCTGGGAAGGGAGCTGAATGCTGAGAATCTCCTTCCTGCTTCAGAGAAGGAACTCTGAATTGCCTGACTTTACCAAGGCAAGCCGAACACGCACGCAGCTTACTAGCCAGGCTGTAACTATCTCAGAACATAATCTGATATGGATATGAAAAAGAAGCCTGACCTCTGCATACTGCATTTATCTGAGAGCTAGGTGTGCCTCAGAGTTATCGCTCCAGATGCTAAAAACCAATGGCAGTCACAACTTCTAGCTGTCCTCTCTTCTGCACTAGCCATGTTTCATATTTGTGAGGAAGAAGAGTGAGTGTACTGTGTATTTGCACATAGATCCAAATCACTTGACGTTTATCCTTGAGTTAACCATAGATGAATGTTTGTGTTCCTTGTGTATTCTAGGATTGTTAAAAAGTTAATCCACCTGATGCCAGCTACAGGTTTATTCACCAGCCCCTATCTACATGGGCAGAAACGTTTTGCAAAACATCCATAGGGTTTCTTTGTCAACAGCATTATCAGAAATGACAGGTGCCATACCTAAGGGCTCTCTGATCTGCAGGGGACGTAGAAATGAAGTTTCATTAACATTTTTCTTTGAAACATCTTGGCTTGTTAAAGAGAAGAGCAAATGAACATTCCGAGGAAGATGTTCTCACCTGAAGAGGGAGTTTCCCACCCCAAACACTGCTGTAACATATTGCTGATCATCATCACTGCGTAAGGAGGTCTAGTCACTGCATTAACGACACAGAGATCTTAATGGAAATAGGGATTTTAACATGAGCATGTCCTGTTCTGGAGTCGTGGTGATTAGTGTAGCTACAGTGGTATGTGACAGCCACCAGCTTGCCCCATGGAGGAACCCCAGTGGTGACTGGGTGAGCAGATCATAGGGCGAGGCTTTGTGCTCTGATGGGTTTTGGTTCTCTGGGGCACTATATCTCTAATTTCTTTCTCCTCCTTAACAGCAACGTCGGTAAAGCCCTTCCTGTGCTGTCACTGATACGACCTGATCTAAAGAGTAGGTTGATTTCTGAAAAGGCTTTATTTTCCAAAGAGAAACAAAAGTCATTTCACTAGGGCTGCATGCCCGTCTTAAGACATGCTTTCATGATCCCAGGAGGCTTTTCTGCTCTAAAGAGCTGGAAGAGTAGCATTGTCCTTCAACAACACACACTGACAACACAGACGTGCTTACAAGTATGGGATAAAGAGATTTAATGTAATTTAGGGCAAAGTTAAAGTGACAAGAATGGATAAATTACAGCCATTATAAACTCTGAAACTGAGGTTGCTAGTCACGTCATTGATAAGGAACCTAAAAAGGGGAGCATGCAGGACTTTTCGATAGGAGAAATTAAATAATTAGAAAAGAAAAACCTCCCAGAAGTATACATTTGAAACAGGAGGGCGTGTGAGGCCAAGGACACTCAGCAGAAGTGGCAGGGAAGGACTTTTCTGTTTCTCCTTGTGTTACTTCAGAGAAATCTGAATCAGGAACCTCAGGCAATCTCTACACTACTGGTGATTTTCAGTCTGACAAGTGCCAAAGTACAGGGCGTGTTTCTGGATTGTTTTGTAGTGGATGCAAGACTCTATAAGTTGGGTCAAATAAAGATGACTTTTGGAAGAACCTTCGGAAACAGCTCAATATGCAAGGTATGCATCATGGTTCAAAATGAAAGAATTAAGGCAGTTTAGCTTTTTGAAGGGTTAGCTAGGGGCTTCCAACAGATGAGTGTGTGTGAAGCCTTTTGATTTCAATAATTTCTTGTTTTAAGGCGGCAAGAAGGTGGATATAGTATTATGTTTGCTATAGACAGTTTCCTCTCCCAGGTATCACTCAGAAGTCAACCAAACTTAAGCTAAAGGGGACTGCCCTTTTCAGCGTCTTGCTGAATGAGCCATGGCTCCCACCTTGATTTGCCTGAAAGATTTTTTTCTAAACAGGGTCAATAGAAGGATTCCCCCTCTGCCAAATACTTAAATTCATAGAATGGTTAGGGTTGAAAGGAACCTCAAAGATGATCTAGTTCCAACCCCCCTGCCATGGGCAGGGACACCCTCCACTACACCAGGTTGCCCAAAGCCTCATCCAATCCGGCCTTGAACACTTCCAGGGATGGGGCAGAGTATCTAGTAGCGTCTAACCACAGGGCTTTTTTGGGTTTCTTTTTAGTCCTGTTTACTCGTATCATCAGGCAGGCTTGTTTGGGAAAGCAGACTATTTGTATAGGTGTGATTTTATTTACCTTCCCAGTGGTCTGTGTGCAAATGCTAAATTTTCCACAGCATTCTTAAATTTTAACCTGCGTTCATGCAATTGGAGCAAGTTTTGAGTTCAGTGGAATATCCAAGTAACCTGACAGTTGTTAATGATTGAACCATCTGTGAGAGTCAGGAGGAGAACAAAAAAAGTAGCTATGTACAACACGGTCACTTTGGCACTAAGATCTGTGTTAGTGTCTCACATCCACTTCTACTTTTTAAGCTGAGCAAGAGGAACACGGTAACATTTGAGGGATTTTTGTCTGAGACAGCATATTTAGGCAAGAAGAGTGGTGCAGCCTTGTCAGCAAAGATTCAAAACTGCACTTTAAAACATTATTTTCCCACTTAAGTGGATGGGGTTTTGTTATTGTTTGGGTTTTTTGTTTTGTTTTTTTGCATAGTGGTAAAATTTCATTAGTCACTGGCCTGTTATGTTTAAAGAAAGAGTAGATTTAAACACAACTTTTTTTTTTTTTCTCTTAAACTTAAGTGACTTCTATTTTAAAATCTTAGTAAAAGGCTTTTTGGAAATGAGGTATGAACAATCTCAAGCTGAATAAGCCTACTCTTTATGAAAATGACCACTTACAGATTTTCTAAATGCCTGTTTCTTCTTCACAGAAGTGAGAGAAATAGTGTTGTGAAATTCCATGGAAAACACAGCGTTGTCTTCTCAGCTGTACGCCTGGCCAAACGTGCGTGCTGATCTGATCCTCATCGCATCAGGACACATCTGACCTTTGCCTGTTACTTACTTGGGCAGTTAATCCCAAAGCAGATTTTGGCTAACAGGTGTTTCAGAGGATGACACTTTGATCTTTAAATATTCATTATTTTATTCTACTGTGTAGATGGTCCACAGAGCACGTTCTAGAGCCAGAGCAGCAATACCCTGCGTGTATTGAGTTTCACATGGATCTTTTCTTCCACAGGGTTAACAGTCTGGAGTCTCTCAAGAAGCAATTTATCAGCCAGCTGGCCTTTCAAAGAGGCAGCCATCTAAAGACAGAGTTAAAACTTAATGGGAGATGCCAAGTTTAGTAGCAACTTGTGTTGAACAGATAAGTAGAGAGAGTATACAATTACACCTCGTTTCGGTTTGAAGACTGCCATGATGCAAGTGCCAGAAAGTGCTGTGACCACACTTCTGCTTTCGGTCAAACTGTGTTTCCCTGGCTGAGACAGTAGTAGGCTTTGACCCCAGTGCTAGAGGCATACACGATTTAAAGGGAGGAGAAGGCGACTCCGCACCACGCTGCGTACAGATGAGGGGAGAAGCTTGCTCCCTGCCTACCTGTGCCCTGGGGGCAGTACCCCTTCCTCCTGCACCAGAGGTTCTGGTCACCGATAGCTGCACGCAGCATCTCTTGCAGGGTTGGCACTCCAGCCTGTCAGAGCTGTGGCCCTTTTTTGTGCTCAGTCTCAGGATCGTTTCTAAGGAGATCCTTTCAGCCTGGAGAAGAGAAGGCTCCGGGGTGATCTTATAGCAGCCCTCCAGTACTTAAAGGGGCTACAGGAAAGCTGGAGAGGGGCTTTTTACAAGGGCGTGTAGTGTTAGGACCAGGAGCAATGGATTTAAACTGGAAGAGGGCAGATTTCGATTAGATCTATGGAAGAAATTTTTCACTTAGAGGGTGGGTGAGGCACTGGCACAGGTTGCCCAGAGAAGTTGTAGATGCCCCATCTCTGGAAGTGTTCAAGGCCAGGTTGAATGAAGCTTTGGGCAACCTAGTATAGCGGAGGGTTTCCTTGCCCATGGCAGGGGGGTTGGAACTAGATGATCTTTGAGGTCCCTTCCAACTCAAACCATTCTATGATTCTATGAAAGAAATCAGGTGTTTCTATTGTGAATCATTCTGGATGGGAACGAAGCTGTAAACAGCGTTTCACAATGATCTTGGCAGGATTTTTTTGCCCCGTGGAATTCCCTGTGGATTCTTCATGGAATTTTTCATATTAAAAAAAATAATGACTTAGTTTTAATTTAAGTTAAATGAAGCAGGTGTTTAGGTGTTTTCCTGCATTGTTCAGACCACGTATGGCTGAGCGGCAACAATGGCAAGACTCGCTAAATTTTCACTTCAAATTCTGCCAGTTAACCTTTCTCCCATCCTCTGTTCCTTCTTCCAAAAAGGCTATGCTTCAGATGAACATTTGAAGTTTAGGCAAATGTGTTCAATTGCAGATCTTAGCAGTGCAGATGAACTGAGTTGCGGGAAATACAGAGTTTGGGAGGAGTTTAAGTATTGCCTGTTTGCCCAAAAAGAGGAAGTGTACCAGAGCGTGTAGATACGTCAGGAAGTAGAGATTCTGAAAATAGACAGCAGATCCTGAGTACCCCCCAAAATTGCTTTCACCTTATCAGCACAGACCTGGGTAATTTGTCGCCTGGGCAAGTAGGCTTTGCAGAGTTCTTTAGATTCAGCAAACTGTCAGCTGTTTGTACACAACTTGGTAGTTTAAAAATATAGTATTATTATTTAAAATATTTTCTGAGCTTGTGAAAAGGAGGCTGCTGAAAGGGGCCCAGTTCTGTGCAAGCTGTGCCTGCCTGTGAGCAGGATGGTAGCTCAGAATTGTAGCAGTTAGTTGCAGTCCTTCCTCTTTCTCCAGCTTGGCTCCATCAGGCAGCAGAAGCTGTCAGTTGAGAGCTGAGCAAATGATGCTTTAACCCCTTGTGTCTTCCCAGGTGGTATCATGATAACCTTACTCGACATGCCGCAGAAGCGCTGCTGCTTTCCAACGGGCAGGATGGAAGCTATCTCTTGAGGAAGAGTAATGAAAGAGAAGATTTGTACTCCCTCTCTGTCAGGTATGGTATGGGCAGAAGTGAATTTATCTAATGCTGCACAGCTAGCAGGTTTAAAATCTTCACTTACTCCCATGCTTTTGTGTCTCACACACTCAGATGACCTGCAGGTTTCTTCCCAGGGTTCAAACTATTTTAATATGTATTCCTAATGGTGTAATCCTGCTGAATGATGATTTATTAGAAGAAAAATTTGAATTGGATTTGGAAATGGCTCTCATTTTTCCAAACTATGAATTAGTCTTACTGGCGAAAAGCATCACCATGGATTGCCTGTAGATATTCAGTCTGCGTGGTAAAAACCAGTATGACAGTTACAAGAGTTTAAGAAACAGCTGATGGGAGTAGGAAAGTTTTATGATGAGGGTAGTAGTAAATATACTGATTAATAGGCGATAACTTCACCAGTTTCTAGATCACTGTGTAGGAACTATCATCTGAGGGACGATCCATTGTTTTCCTGGATGGTTTTACTCCTCTGTTCTGGGCTAAGACTCAGTTTTAGCCAGTAATGAGTGACTGGTTTGAACAGTATTTCTCAAGTGACAGACACCAGGCCCTTGGAGTCATCGGAATTACAGCAATTTACATCAGTTCAGGACACAGACGTTACAGAGCACAGGTAGCTTATAGGCCTGAGTATTTACGTCACTACTGAATCACATTTAAGGAACCTCCCAAGAAGCAGAAAAGCCACACTGTTCCAGAGAGGTGATACGAAAGATGTTTGCATTCGACACACAAGGTAGTTGGTGTGTGTCAGCTGAATGGAGGTAGCCAACCCTAAATACATTCTGAGCCTTTGTCAACTGTGAGGTATGTTAAGACTCTTCAATGAAAGTTTCAGCTGGTCCATTCAAACTCATTTCTGCCTCAAACTGAACCTCTGAACAATTAGTGACCACAGCTCAGCTGAATCGCGGTGACTTTTTAAGCTAAAGTCACTTTGCTCAATAAAATGATGCAAGTTATTCACAACTTTAATAGACAGGAACACAGCGTATGCCCTTGAAATGGTGACTTTGTGTGTGTTTGGTGTCAGGAGCTGTTAAAATTTGGAAGCTCACTTGGAAACTGAGTGCAATTTACACATACCCTGTTCCCCAGAGGTATAAAAGGCAAATACGAGTCGCTTCACTCATCTCTGAGAGAAGACCCAGGAGCAAGTGTGCCTATCCATACACTGCTGGACTTACTGCCACTATGGAGAGCCACTTATACAAGGAGCTTGAGGGGGGGCCTGACAGATCCAAAGGTGATGTTACAAATTGGCTATTCAGGGTAGCAATGGCTGATTTGAGTGCAAGGCTTGGGAAATAGAATAGTAGCATTTATAAGTAATAGCTTTCCTTAAAAAAAAGAAATAAAAATAGTTTTACACGAATCCTTGTCTTGCTGGTTAACATTTTTTGGCATAATCTACCTTAGACAATTTAAAAAAATGTGTTTCTTGAAGCTAGTTGTAAAGGGCGCTCAGGAAACAACTTACTGTGATAAAATAAAATGTAAATAGTTGTTCTTTTAATAGGGAACAAAAGCTAAAGTGTTAGTTAATGAAAATAAATTTGTTGCTTTAATAGATTACAGCCTCAGAAGACCTAGAAAAGTCTACCTCAGGCCAATTCCAATCTTTTGTTTGGCTCTCCATGTAGGAACAAGAGTCACTGCATTACGTTGGACTGAATATCCCAAACTGGAGTTTGATATTTTATTCTGTTACATTAGATTTTTGGTGGTAGTACTCCCTTGAAATACTGAATTTGATTTCAAAATATTTTGGTAATTTTCTGCTGTTCGTTTAAGTTTTCATTTCCATTTTTTTTTTTACTAATATTAAAACTTCGTTTTAGAATAAGTAATTCAATTTTGTTGTGATACATTTTTGTCTAAAGGATAATTTTATCAATTTTACCTGTCATTTTCTTTTTATAGCTTTTACTTTACTTTCTGCCTCACAAGGAACTTCAGTCATTATTATAGTTTGTTTTAAAAGGAAACAATGCTCTGAGACGTCCCTTGAGGTTTTTATTGACAGTTGCAAGAAGGCAGCAGCAACAGAGATCACATATTGCCTGAAATAGCCTCTCCCAGCTAAATTAGCCAACTTCAAAAAGGAACTAGGAAGTAGAGTAGACATTGCTCCAATTTCAACATTGTATTTCTCGTGAAATTAAATGAAAAGATGAAAATCCTGTAGTTACAGCAGAGTCACAGCAGCTGTTTGGTGTGCAGGGCATCTGCACTTGGTTTGCATACATTCTGAGCTGACTATACAAGACAAAGTTTTCTCTGGACTATTTGGGATGCTAGTAACATTAACAGAAGTAACTTTTTCACAGGAGAGATACTTGCACTAAGTGCTTCACTGACTTCTGAAGTCAAAACAGTTGCCCATCCAGGAAGCGAGGCCTTGCACGCGTCTCTAAACACCATCAGCTTTCATAAACAAGTGCTGTCATTTCCCTGGCAGGAAAAGGACCCTGGTCCGTGTTTGACAGTGCCCACCACAGAGGAACTGTTCGCCTGAGTACAGAGACAAAGCTGACAAATTCTAAAGCCTTAGGTATCCAAAGTTAGGTTATTAAATCCCTGTTTGGGTGCAAAAAGGAGGCAGCCCATTTTGAAAGAGAAACGGAAGGCATTTTTAATGAGATTGGGATGTTACCTGAAAAGTAAGACATACACGGAGTAGTACAGGTATCAAGAGTAAAGCCTAGTATGTGAAGGCATATTGTACTGCTTAGGCAGAAGGCTGGAAACCTTCTTTGTAAGTTGTTTTACTGGCTGCTGCAAGAGTTAATTTAACTTGGCCTTTCTAGGCTGGCATCATTTCACATCTGTAAAGCGGCAATTAGATTTTTCTTAATAAATCCGAGTCTCGAATGCGTTGAGTATTAGCGAGAGGCAGTAATGGCAGTAGTGTTACTGCTAGGACAGGGATTTTCAGCCTGTGATCTGGGCCAGATATCCTGGAGCAGATGCTGCTACTTAAGGACTGTACCTGCCAAATGCCTTTGGCATTTATGCCTTGACAAGTTTTCCTGTTTTATTTTAGGGGAAAAGATTCTGTGAAACACTTCCACATTGAACATACAGGAACTTCATTCAAATTTGGATTCAATGAATTTTCTAGCTTGAAGGAATTAGTCTTGCATTTTGCAAATCAGCCTTTAATTGGAAGCGAAACAGGTAAGGAGAGCCATATGTTTGTATGAACATGTTTGTAGTCGTGCTTCACACAGACCTGAGTAAAAGTTGCCTCCAATGTGTTATCATGTACATCTACTGCTGAAGTGTTCCTCTTCAGAAATTCACGTTTGTGTTAACCTCAAGTACCTGAGATGTTCCTCTTCAAAAACTCTTTCAAGTACTCTAGAAACAAACTACGTGTAAGCTTGCTGGGCTTTTGCTAACCAGGGGCATGAGCTCCTTTTGATTTCTCGGAGGGAGGAGGAAGCATTTCAAAATACACGTATACTGGGAGGAGCAGAACCTTCTCAAAAAGGGCAAAACCAAAGCAGGGTGTTTAATGAGGAAACACGTGTTCGCCTAGGAAGTTGAAATCCCCCAATAAGAAAAAACAGAAAAGGGACTTGAAATTGTTTAGCTCCACTATTCTTAATCCAAGGAAGAAGTCTACAGTGATATGTTCCTCTTTCCTGTAAGGAATGTGCCCTGTATTACCTCTCGCTTTCTATCTACAGTGTGTCAGCCTGCTGATGTCATCTGCCATCACAGTAATTTGTCTTGGTTTTAAGAACAAGGAAGAGAAAAGCACAGGCTCCTTGAGCAGCCAGCATGCTGCCTGAATTAAGAGTCAAAAGATTAAACTTGATTCCTGCGACTGAGCTGGACACCACTAGACCAGAATCGCTGGAGAACCAGATGCATATTACCATGATAATGCCAGTTTTATGTTTAGCTTCAAATTTAAGAGTTGAAGATGTGTCAGTCCAAGTTAGTGCCAAAAACTTCAGTGTCCTGTGTAGAAAGTGTGTGCAAATAACTCAAGAGTTATTGAACATGCAGGTGACCAGTTAAACAGTTGTTGGCACATGCAATAACTGTAATATGTCACACACTCAGTACACACCAGTGCTCCTGTAACACCAGCATTAAATTCAAGGGTTGCCTTGCAGCCTCCCTGTCCTGGCTTCAGCTGGGACAGAGTCAGCTCTTCTTTTCAGCAGCCAGAAGAGCTCCGTTTTTGGTTTTAGTCTGAGACTTGCTCTGAGAAGAATGTTGACAGCACACTGATGTTTGTAGTTGGCACTGAGACCTCAAGGACTTTTCAGCTGCCGTGTTCTTGCCAGTGTGCAGGAGCACAACAGGATAACGGGGAGCATGGCCGGGACAGAGGGTCCACAACTCTCCTTATGATTTGTACTTAGGATTGAGGCCAAACTGCCCAATTAGTATTCCATACCATGCAGCATCATGCCCAGTATAAAAGTGAAGGACAGCTGGAAAGAAGGGCCTTGGCTCTTCTGGGACTCTCACTGCTGGACTCTCAGAGTGCACTCTCTGTCTTGCTCTGTTTTCGGGCCTCTCGCTCATCCAGGATTGTGGTGTCAGGACTTATCTGTTTTGGGATCGTTAGTTTGGGACGAGATGGGCCTCGGGCAAGGGATGGTGAGCAATTACACCGTGCATCACTCATTTCTATATATTTGTCATTGTACATATATGTTTATATTCATATATTAGTAGCAGTAGTTGTTCTTATCTCAACCCACAGGTCTCTTTCCATTTTCCCCTTTCATTCTCTTCCCCACTGGGAGTAGGGGAGGGTGGGCAAACAGCTGTGTGCAGTTTAGTTGCTGGAGCAGCCTAAACCACGACACCCCCACCCTCCCCCAAGAAAACGCAGTGGCACACTTGATATGGCACTTGTCTCTTTCAAAGCATTCTCTTTTTAAGTTGCTTTTTAAGTGTTTCAAACGCAGTTCCTACATGGACCTTTCGTGCCAGTAAGCTGTTTTTTCCTGTGAAATCAGACATGTACCCACAGGCCTAACACTGTAAAGATTTCAGCTGACATATAAAACTCGAGTTTCCCCATTCCTTCACTGCATGTGTTACAGACATTAGTAATCAAAGGCATTGGTGCTATGTGATCTCTGTGGACAGGACTTGTCACCTTAAAGCTCCCTAATCAGTTCTCTGGGCTCTGTGAAACCTTTTCGAGTTGAATGTGCTACAGAATAAGAAAAGCCATTTGAACATCACCTTAAGAAACCTTCCATTTTACCCTGCCATGGATAGGAGCAGAGAGGAAGAGACAGCACTCAGGCAATGTTCCTTCAGATACAGGTGTCAAAGGTCTCCTGGGTGGTAACTGATTTGTACCAAAAAGGGGGTAGGGACTCATCAGACCCCACTCCAAGCCAAGTGTCAGTGTGGGAGAACGACTGGCCCACCCACAGGATCACACAGCGGGCTGGCAGGAAGGCCAGCAAGAGAGTCTGATTTCTTAGGCCACACTTCCTTCCACTGACAAGCAGCAAGTGACCTTTGGCTCAGGCATTCGTAGAAAGTAGTTGGACCAGTTTCTTATTCCTTGTTATTCTTACAAACAATCTTCTATAGAAACACTGAGATCAGGAATGAGAGACTAAAGCAAGATAGCATGATAGTATTTTTCATCTCCTCCTTGCTTATAAGCTTTTTTAAGACAGAGAGCCACAAGATAGAATATGTAATGGTTTCCACTGTCTTCCATTTAAGTGTTGCCTCACTGGAGCTAGTTTTGTGTCTGAAGAGGCACACCAGACTCTTTGATCAGTATTTGAACACACAGGCCTGTGCCCCTGCAAACTGCTCTGTGGAGCACAGTGGTTCTTCTGTGCTGGGACAGCTGCGGGTCTGTGCTTCAAGCCCAACAAACCTTGTCTTCCTACAGCTTCATTTGTCACTCCAAATTGTTATGTGGACTCACATCTGGTTTTGTGCCGTGTAATGTGTACACTTCCTTCTGAACTACAGGTAGTTAAAAGGGAATTGGAGCTGCTGTGTTCTGTGAGTTCGTTTCTAGAACAGGCAGGCTGAATCTATTCAGTAACAAGGTTAAAGCAATACACTATAATTTTTCTATATTTCTATCTTTATTCAAAATGACAAGGTCAACATGTTATTCTTACCTGTTTGTTTCATTTATCAGTTTTTACCTAAATTATTTTGAAAACATATAAAAGCTTCAAGTCATTACCCAGCTCAAAAAAGCCAAAGCCACTTGAAGCTAACGTTTCCAACAAAACTAATTTTCACTTTTCCTTAGAAATAGATATCACACGCAAACATGAAAGAAGAATATTGCTACAGTGCAGCTTTTACTAGTTCTTTTGTACAGTTACCAGATGATTCTGTGCAAGTATCTTTTGTGGAGAAAACACATTGAGAACTTAGTAGAAAGCAAGTCTTGTATGAAATGTTAAATTAGTCCTCCCAGTTCCGCAAGAGGGCTCTTTATCCATGGTGTACAGATAGTTTCTGTACACTGGTGATGGGGATGTTCTCAGTTTCATTTTAGATCATAAAGCATTTTCTTTTCTGCAAGGCCAGAGAGAATTGAACTGATTTTGACTTTTCACCTGTAGCAAGTTTAATAGATCACATTTGCATACACACCTGTGTGCAGATTTCAGTTGATTACTTCAAATACAATTTTTCCACTTCCTTCTGTAGCCCTTCCCATTACAAAATACAATTTAAACTGTATTTCACTTTTAAATTACTCCATCATCTGTAGGTTTCAAGTCGGAAGTTCTTACTAATTCTAGCATCCCTCTTCTTTAAGAGCTGGCAATACCAGCATAAAATGCAAATGGAGCAGAATTTGGTGTGCTGTGATATTATTAAAGAATGGGATTAGATGGCGTAGCGAATAATGTAATAAATTCACTAGTGAGAATGCACTTTTTTGCAGAGAATGTGCAATAAACATGACCTTATTTAGAGAACAAAGAATGGCTATGATAAGAACGTTACTAACTGGAAAGAGCTGTGATAAAACAGTTAAAGGCAATGGTAACGTGGGCTTACTGTTGGGAAGTCTGTACCCAAAGGTCTGACAGATAAAGTGATTTATGCAGCAAGCAGTGGGTTCCTGGCAAAACCAGGATGACTGTTACAGCCCTCGTATCTAGCCTAGCATCCTGCCTACCCACCCAGCCAGTCTTCCGTGCAGGAAGCGAATTTCACATGTCAGGTGTTTCCTTGCAAGCACTAAGAAGCGTAAAGGTTGTAAAAAAGGTACTATATATTTACAGTTTTCACAGTTGCATAAAGCAGGTGTGATAATGTCTGTAGTCACATCTTCATGAACGCAGTGGAAGCATAGGCCAGGTGTAGGTCATCATTTCAGCTGTAACTGTGAAATCTGTGTTTCAGTTTGTTCTGTATTACGTAGTTACTCCTTGACTGGAAAGGAGGTTCAAGCAGATCAGGAGACACTTGCCTTCAAGGGCTGTCTGATGGTCCTGTTCTGTTGCTGTCTTGATTTTTCGCTGCTCACCATGCATTGCAGAAGGGGTTTAATTACCTACTGCTTAGAAGAATCGAAGAGGGTTTTCACTCTTGTTTTCAGAGATGTAAGAACAAATTGACTCCCACTGTACAGGAATGAAGGAACGGAATTAGGCGAGGTCCAAGTGCCCAAGGCATTGAGGACTCTGAGCAACACAATAGAGCCAAGGAAGTGAGACTGGGCAAATGAATCCAACAGCAAGTGTCCCTCAGTAGTTTGCATGGGTGAGTTTTGTAGAAAATACCCTTCACAAAGTCTAAACTATTCAGATGATGCGTGTTAGAAATATTTGTCTAGTTGTATCAGTGTGGGAGAGTCATTTATAGCATCTGGTTGTTCTCTGACATGGATGTGGCCTGAGTCCTGCCCCCTTCCAAGGAAAAACCCTTACAGGGAGTGTCACAGAGATCTTGGGGAGGTTATTACCTTTTCCTAAAGCTAAAAAGATATAAGAGCTAAAGATAATTGTTCTACAAACAGGCAGCTACTGCCAGTTATTTTCTAAGACTGTCTTGCCAGGTGACTTACTCCTGCTCTTTTTCTCTGCAGGGACCTTAATTGTATTGAAGCATCCCTACCCACGGAAAGTGGAAGAACCTTCCATTTACGAGTCTGTCCGAGTTCACACGGCGATGCAGACAGGAAGGACAGAGAGTGATCTTGTTCCAAATGCTCCCTCAGTAAGTTGTGTCCTACTGCAAGGGGTGCTTCTCCTGACCTGAGTTTGGTATGACTGTTGGAGTAAGCTGTGGAACACCACCGGTAATTCATCCCTTTATGGGTTCGTAAATACAGGGAGTCTTTGTCAACCAAGGCAAAATAAACACAGGCTTGCGAGGTACAGTCCCATGACAAATAAAGCCTTTCCCAGTTGTTGTCACTGAGACCTCCAGTGCTGTCACTGGGAAAACATTGTCTGCAGCTAACCTAGGTGAATCTGACCATCCAAACAAAGAATATACACAAAGTTTTCATTCTCCTGTTATCTTCCTTTTAGAATGCCATCTTAGCAGTAACATTGTCAGGAATTTAAAAAAAAAACCACAAACACACCACAAAAAACAACGTCAGGAATTTAAAAAAAACCACAAACACACCACAAAAAACAAGCACAACACTTCTCACATCTTTCTGACAACACTCATCAGGCTGTGTGAAACACTGCATGTGTCAGGTGGCACAGTAAGCCCTTGTTTTGCCAAACACCCTTTACAGCCAGTGGGAAGTGTCTCCCTCTCTTCCCCACCAGTGAGGAGAGGAATACACTGAATCGCAAAACCAAGTAAAACCTACAGGATTTACCACGTTTTGACTCTCTCATCCAATACGAAGATTAGTGGACAGGAAGCACATAGCAGTCCTGACAGACAAACTCATTACCTATTATTGGTTTTGTAGTCTTGGTTTGATAAAATTATTTTGCCCAGTTAGCAAATCACAGCCTCCTTCCTAACTAGAAGGAAGGAAGAAAGGAAAGAGCATCTGAATTTCTGGGTCAGTTAAAAAGCGACCTTTTGAAAAAAAATATTCAAAGATGTGCAAGACAGGCGGGGATGCATTTGGAAAAGGAAACACCAACTGAAGCATGGTACAACCAAGTTAATAGGAGTACCTATATCCCAATAGGTACATTACTCAAAAGGATTTTTGTTTGGCATTTTCCTATTTGGACTTTATTACTTGAGAATCACCTTAAAGTGGGAAGATGGCTTGCTGTATTCTGACACACACTTACACCCTAAGTAGAGCAGTATGACAGAGAAGAGCCTCCACTCCTTCAGCCCTAGTAATTTTGAGCCCAGTAGAAGGCTGTGTCATGTTAAAACCGAGACAGGTGGGTTGTCCAGAACAGTATTGCTCAGAATAGAGAGGAAAATTTTTAATTACATACTATATTTTTAGAGAAAAAGAGGAAGAGTTA